CGACGGCCGCGCTAGCTATTTGGCAGCAGTACGCACTGCGGAAGGCCACAATAAGTTGCTGAAATGTCAGCCACCACGACAGTTACGCGGTTCGTCTCAGACAACCTAGACAAAATTCATAAGATGGTGTCCACACAGTTGGCGTTGAGAGATATTTAGCAGGCGTCTATATTTCCCCAATAGTTCCAAGGTGAGCCCTTTCCTCTTTATTAGACAGTTTTCCTTTTTGAGGGAAGTTTTGAATCCATTGTTTAATGTTTCACGTCCTATAATAATAAAAATTCTAAAAATATATATTCTTGCTAGAACTCAATTCCACCGACATGTTACTCTTTGAAAATGATGAGTTTACGAACACAATTGCAAGTATTTAATAGTACGTCTATAGGCAAGCTGGCTTTAGGCTCAGTCTGCAAGTACTGGCAAGTTCCGATGGAAGTTGGGACGGGTCATCGTGGCCCTACGTGCACGAAATTTCATTTACAATTTTTTGACATCAAACAAAAAATTAAGAGGGTATGCGTTAGAAAAAGACTTTTCAGAGCACTGACTTGTTTGCAAGTCATAAAGAGGTGCAACACTTCAATCGTGCAAACAACTCTAGCATCCATCCATGAGTTTTTCCAAAATCGATACTTCCGAATTTAGACCAGATCTTTTAATTTTTGATGATACTGTAAAATAAATTTGTACTACATTGTCAAAGTTTTTTCAAATCAGTTCCAGATTTTTTTTCTTAAATTTTCTTGCTTAAATAGTTCGATATACTATTCGCTGTTTGGCAACAAGGTTTAAGTTCTCCTTTCATTAGAATATTGTTTTTTTATTTCGTAAGTTAAACATTTCGAATTATTTCATGTTTTTTAAACATATTTGTAGTTTTTGCGAAATTTTGAATTAAATCACAGATACGTCTTCAGTAGAATCGCTTTTTTAGTTATTCTTAGTTCGCTTTTTTAGTTATTCTTTATATAAATTTATGAGTTGAAACGCTGAGTGACATCAATACAGCCCCTACGTGACACCAGCTACTGTAGAAAACCCATTTATCTACGCCACTGCTTCATTCCTTAGTGGCCTGTACGGAATATTCTGTCTTTCATTCAGTTTTGGGTGATTCCTATCAGTCGCATCCGGTGAATGAATGTGGAGAATGCTACTAAATCAAATGAATGAAGCAGATTCGGTAACAACGTGCTGATATGATTTTCATTCAATGGAGCATGTAGACGTTTATGCAATTCATTCCTTTAACTTTACAGCTTTAAGGGAGCATGATGAGCCATTAGTTGTTGGTTAAAAGTTGAAATAAAAAATAGGTAATATTATATACATTGATTCAACATAACAATCCCCTATCATATTTAGGTTTACACAAATTCTTATGTCCGGTGACACTAATAAAATCACGCTGAATCTTCTGACATCTTGAAAATAACAATATTATGACTCTGAACATATTGCTGAATTGTCGAACATATGTAATTATCATTCGATCATTATCTCCTCAAACTTAAAATTCATGACAAGAACGACAATCACGTCCTTGTACAGTATTTCAAACAATTGAGAACAACTATTAAAACTCTATTTGGAGTATATATCTCTTTCCGGAGCCCGCTAATGGCATTAATATTTTATGGCATCGTCAATCAGCGTTTGACACTAATTATGGTTGAACCGTCGATGTAAAGAATCTCATTGAATGATACATGCGATTTTTTTCTCGAGCGCGTTGCAATGAAGGCTGCTCCTAATGACCTTGACAATTCGAATCTTAGAAGAGCACCAATTTTACTTTCTCGTCGTACTACGTACTTACGTGGTAAAGAGAAAGTATTGAAAATGTGAGGCAAAACCCGGCGATTTTCGACAAACTTGTACACACAGGTCTTGGTATCGAAAAAGTGGATAAATATTGTGGCGTCGTTAACACGAGGGCCAGAACCGTTAGGTTGGTGAAAGTACGCTGCGGGGGAGGAAGGAGGGGTTAAGCCTGAACATCCGGAGTTTGCGCTCTGGCGGTTGACTCATGTAGAGCCGCAGAGCCACACAAATACCGTTGGCTGTAAACTCCGAGGAGGCTAGCTAGCGTGCCTCAACCGGAAGCAGGCAGCCAACCTGAGAATTCTCTGTGTGTGGGCGTAAACCAAAGGCTGGCCTGCGAGCCTCGCGCCAGTGCGAGTCTATCTATGGAACAGTGGTGGGGGTGTCAGCCTCAACTATTTAACGCGGCGCCATCTGCGCCCGCGTTCTCATTCAGTTTGCATCGGGTAGCTTGTACGTGTATGTACAAGGAGGGTGTAGGAGTGAGGGCGAGATGTCCGGAGAGTAAGGGCCAGACAATCTCACGTGCTGTAGGCACACGGTCGCCACGACCGGGTTAACTTTTGGCGTCAGGCCATGTGACGGTAATTGTCACGGGACAGAGGTCCGACGGCGCGCATCACGCGTGGCTTGTATTTTCTGCGGTAAAGCAGTGTTCTGAAAGGAAAAGGTTGCCGGAGTGTTTTAATATTAGCAATTCATTGTAACTTGTACATAATCTTTGAATATATTATTTTTCTTTTGTTATTGAAATTTATTTCTTATTTCACTACGTCACAATATAGTTCTTACATGTAGTAAATTACTTCCTCTAACACAAGTAGTCAGATATCAATTTTTGTGGGTCCTTCATTCTAAAAAAAAATTGATTGACGGCAAAACGTCTTATCTGTTAGTATGTGGCCAACGCTAGTGCCTAAACCCTTAGGTGGTTTTATTTTCTCTTTCAAAATTGATATTCCACCATCGATATGGCCGAACTCGAGGCCTAGCGAGTTGGAAACGGATAGTTCGATATAAGGGGAGGTGTACGTTACAAAATCCTCAACATTTTCACAATTTTCTCATGGGTCCGAACCTTTTTTACTAAACTGTTTCCTAGGGTAAAGCGAAGGGCGTTTAAAAAATGACGCAGGACTAATTTTCGTTAAACTCTAAATTTTCGAAACTTGCACAAGTTAGAAATAATGGGAGAAAGTATGCACTATTACACCACCAGTCGAGCGAGTATTAAGAAATTAATTTTACAAAATTATCGTCTTCCCCACGATGTCCAGAGCGCTGTCAAACTGGGGCCCGAGAATGCAAGAAAATACTTCCACTCTTCCTTACAAAGCCACAGACATTGGAATAAAATCAGAGCCGCCAAGTCACAAATATCCACACACTTTCCACGAAAGCTTTCGATTGAGCCGTGTCACACTGTATACCCACACATGCATACACAAACACGGACACAAACTCAAACACGTCCACGCATAAACTAAACGAAGTAGAAAAATGTGGGACTGCTCCGACCTGGATCCGTATTCAATAGTTTTTTCTTATCGCAAAATACGCGGGTAATAAAAATTAGAAGAGCTTGTAGTATTTCATATTGTTTCTAGACAGTTAATCATTACGCCATTATAACAATCACAATGGAAATAATATTCTCAATAACTGAAAAACGTGACAAAATGTTTCTACTACCAAATAATTCGTGCGTACACGAAGATTTTTTTGTACGTTGAATAGTTTGAAAGTACAATTGGTGTATTTAAATACGATACTCATGATAAATTTGAAGGAACCACCAGCAGATTCATCCTTCGCGCATGCTTGTATATCATGAGAAAACCACCAGTTACCTTTGTTCGGACAGTAAACCCAGGAAGCTTATAATCCACCGAAGATCATTTTCTAGTAGTAAGGTATTCTGCAAAAACTTAAAAGAATTTTGATTTATAATAGAGGAGATAATTCACATTTCGAAAAGTAGCTTATTCTTTCTATAACTAATTACCATTTATAAACGATTCTATGGTCAGTGCTACAAGGGATGAATTATCGAAACAATCTTTAGGACGGCCGTGTATCAGCTGCCTGCTACACTTAATTCTAGTGTAGTACGGCGACAATATATCTTGCACATCGCATTTCATAATTTTTCCCTCCAGGAAAATGCCACTTATCTGCAAATGTGAAGCAGGTTATTGAGAAAAATGTCTCTTCCCCTACCCTACAAAATTAGTATCAATAATGATGAACTAAATAGTAACCATTCAGATTCTTCTTCGCCTATTTTCGTTACATCGAAGTCTAATTAATGACACTGCATACGTAATATCAAGAAATCTCGTTAATGCCCTGGAAAGTGGTATTGCCAGAAAAAAATATCAGAAACTCTCCTGAAAATTGTCATTAATACAGAATTTTTGCTTTTGCACATTCATATATTTGTGTTCATAGTTTTACTGCATTGCTCAAGATAGGAAAAACATGAAAGCAAATACGAATTCTCGCACATATCAGCACGTTTTCTTGGTGCGTTCATTTTCTCGCTGGTCTTTTCAACTGGGAACGTATTATTAATCTAAGTAGCATTGACGTAAAGAGCTCAAGAAAACATGCACATATTGCACTTCTCTCCATTTATCAGTTTTGACGTTCAATGTATAAATAAATAAAACTAGAAGTTTATTGGCCCACCAAATGTACGTGCGTAGGTCGTCGAACAATATGCTTAATTCCAAATATTTATGTTAAAAACAGTCCAGATTTACAATCGGGAAGTTCAGATTACAAAACTGTTCCTAAAATGTAAGCTAAACAATGCAAATATATTTGAACTTAAAAGCAAAGGTTATCGCTAATTTTTAAATTATTTTCATCATGCATTGAATAAATAATTCATTAAATTTTGTTCTATGTTAGAACCAACGGTCTTAAATTCGTGATAAGGAAAGTCTTCTCATTGAAAAGCGAGAGAAAAAGTTATGAAAATTCAGCAAATATATACTACTACTACTATGTACACTTATTTAACAAAAACAAAAATGTCTGAATAAGAATATATCTTAACATCTGAACACCACAGATATACTATATCACACCTATCCTAACATTCATTACTCAAAATTTTGCTTGCTTCCATTACATTTCTTTCCATATCACATACGTACAGTGGCACATCAGGGAAGGGCGATTGGGAGTGGTTCAGGGGGTCCTGGGGTTCCCCCGGCTTCTCCTGCCCCCCAAGCCAATGATACACAATAAAAAATAAAGCTTTTACTAATTTTCTAAACTAATGAAAGTCATTCAATATATCAAATGGTTATATTATAAATATTAATTATATGTCGACAAATTAAAATATATTACACATTCAGCAAAAAATGAAAAATCAGTTGAACTCTATATCATCTATCTATCAAGCCAGTTGAACACTGTATCTGTAGCTCTCTCCACCCACCCTACGACAAAAATTCTGGATGCGCCTTTGCACATATACAAACTAAACTGTCAAATTTTAAAAAAATGTGACAAAATATTTTTTGAAGAACACTTAATCATAATTTTAAATTTTCATCAATACATTGGATTACAAAGCCTAAAAAATATTGCAAAAACTCATTAAAATATTGCTTTATACATTCAGAAAATAAAAATGTTAACACATTTTATTTGTATTTTGTGCAATTTCTGTATAATCTAGAACTCAAGATACATGTACATGAATTCTTTTATGCTTCTTTATTATATCATTGTACTTCTGTACAGGTTTTAGAAATTCTTTAAACATTTAAATACCAGAGTGATCTTGCTGAAAATGTGACAACTTCTGGGCATCATATAATTAGAGAGAATTCTGGACAATGAATGTAATATTAAATTTACATGTATTTCCATGGTTAAGAAACTGCAAGAGTCAATAGTATTGATACTTCCTGAACATAGGAATCGAATTCATTCGTACAACATCCAAAGTGCAGAAACACAACACAAAACAAATATATAATTTTAAATTAAATTAAAAAGTTGAATTATTATTTTTCTGTAAGGAATCATTTGCATATAATTATTTTATTCTATTATTTTAATGGCAATTATTATCTTCTCCCTACAAACTCCCTACTTTTATTAATTCTACCAATTCAAAATTTCAAATGCAGGATGCACATAACTCCAAGCACACATCACCTTTAAGTACACAATGTGCCACAATCAAGCCATTCATCCATAATATAAAATTCGTTCTTATGGTTTTCCAACAACGAAGGATAAAAGAATTTCTATGCCATTTCAAAACAATTTATCAAAATAATAGAAAATTAAAAGTAACTTCCTAAAGTTATAATGTACGAATTGCTCTTGCTACAAACAGTTTACTTCTGTGTGCAAATGCTACCATATTTACAAACTTATAGCTTGACCTTTGATTTGTTTTTATGAATGTCATTAAATGTATTATTTATGTTATTGCATACTCTGTTTCACAGAACCTAACAACCAATCAACTTCAGTTAATTTATGAACTTTTAAACACTTACCAAAAATTGTTAGTTAAAAGTCACTTGAACTCCAACAATCTTGGATGAATAATATGTCAAATTTTCTACAAATGACCAAATTACATGCACTATATGAGATCTGTGAATTATCATGACAGTTCATCAACACTCTCACTATTGATTTGTTTCCATGCTTGGATGCCTGTAGATATCTATGAAGGAGAAACAACCTCCCAAGTAATGACTACTGTTGAAGTGATTTACTGCCTGATTAATCATGCAATATTTATATCATACACTAATGAGAGCAAAAGAGTAAAATTGCATACCTTCAGAAAAAAAAAACACTTTACCTCTATCCACCAACATTCATGCATTGTGCTAAGCAACAATATAATACTGAGAACTCATACATATTAACTTATAATTTTGTAATTATATCTTAACTTTATTTTCAACATATATATGCAATGAATTCAAGAATAGGAACAGATTTACCAATTTCTTCTGATAATCACTATCGAAATTACAGGAAAGTAAGCTGGCACACACACACACAAATAAAATATTATTCTATGAACTGTTGAAAGATTAATTTGTTTGCAGTTACAACTAAGAAAACCAAGGCCATTTACACACATTACATGGAGAGAGCATTCATTTTTTAAATCATTAATTTTGTTGTTGTTGTTGTTCTAAATTTAAAACGTTGAATGAAGTGTGCATTAGAGAAGTACAGAAATTTTTGGTAGTCTTCAAGAGATTTATAACAATATACACCCACAGCATTTAAATAATTGGATAACCTTTTTATAAAATTTTACAGAGAATACTCTACATTATGTCATTCTTTCTCTAAGTTTAGAGCAATATTAATAGATAACTTTTGTTGAAAATTCTTCTATAAAATTATTAAGAATTCCTTTGTCAATATGAAATTTCCTTTAGTTGTTCTATAAATTTGAAATTTCAATACAGATCAGCAATGAAATATCTTGGAGCTCTCTACAAGAGTATTACACATTTTAACAGAATGTACACATGACATTAAATTCAAGGAAAACGTAAACAAACATAATAAATAAAATTTACAAAAATTTCACAATTAATAACCAGCCATTAAAAACTTACTTTTTATTACAGATAACATAAAGGGTATTGAACTTTTATTTAATTAAATATAACTGAAAGAGTGAGACTATTGCTGTCATAATATTGAGATTCTCACATCCTTCAAAATACTCTAACCTTTTAACAGTATTCAACTCGTGATTACATAAAAGAAAAAGAAAGGGGAAAAAAGAAGAAAAAACAAAACAAAACAAAACAAAAAAGAAAGCGGTAGAACTCTGGCAAAGAATTTTATGAAGAAGCCCTTCGCTACACAGAAGTTTTTAAAAAATTGAATTGTAACAATGAATAGGCACCTTTTACTTTGTTATTATATGCTATTGCATTCCAGAACACAATAGACACTAATTTGTTTTCCTTATAATATTTTTCTTCAGAAACATATTCCAAGACATCCACTCAATGTAATTAATTCTTAAAAATTAAAGATTTAATTATCAATTTAGTTCACACTCACTCACCCTCCCCAAAAAACGTTCTTATGACACATCATATCGAATAATTTTTGTAGCTTAAGATACAGCAAAACAAATGAAATTCCATCAATAAAATGAGAGCGCAACACAATTTATTAATAAAATAATTTTTTAGAGCAATACTGGGCTATCATGATGTGGTTCCAATGATAGAAAGCGTCAATGCCTCTCAGTTACTTTACAAGAATTTAAATAAAATAATTCATGAAAGACCAAAGTTTTAATTATATGAAAAATTTGTCACTGTTAAATTACTAGAATGCATTATGAAAATCTTACTGGACAAAAAACACCATTATTATGTCAACAGTCAGGTCTTTTCATTTTATAAATATTAATATGTACTCTATAGAGAGTCACTATAGTATTTACAAGATTAACAAAAATAATAGCCCTACAATTCCTTGATATGCACACTTCAACAACTTTCAAATTACATTTTCTTTGTACATCAACAATGCATGTTGTCACACGTCACTTCATTCACTCTTTCAAAATTCAACTGTCTCATACCTGATAGGTACTTTTCATTGGTAAAAGCAGAAACGAGGCATGTTTTTTAAGACTAGATTCAATGTAAACAATATAGGTTAAGTTCATCACATTGTAAATCTCATCTCTAGTCTGCAAGGAAGATTAACAATCTCTCAACCTGTAATGTCATTTTGTATCAGGGAATGAAATGATAAATGCAGACACATTGAGATTAAAGAACAAGCATGCAAAGTGATGTCAATAAGTGCACTGATAATCACAAATGTGACAAAGCAAAAATGTAAACAAAAAAAATTTGGTTCAAAAGAAACTTCAAATATCGACAACACTTGTTGCCAAAATGTTTAAATCCAATATATTCACAAAGCAAAACTCTCCAAGCACAGTGTAAAAGTAATCAAGGTCACATACATGGCACAGCAATTTGGCCTTTGTTTAACAATCAAACATTCACTATTCCTCACTCGTGATCAAATATGAGAATCCCACCAGTAGACACACACTGAGTAAAAATCTGCTTACGAGATTCGACGAGCGAGCGGCGGGCATGGCACGACGCTACAGCGGAGATGAGTGAGGGTTTCTTTGTTCCGCAGAACGCGGAACCTCTATGCGAGGTCCGTGTTTACACTCCCGTTTCCGCGCCGCATTTACAAAAATCAAAGCCTTCTCTAATTGTCAGCGATAATCTACATTTTTTCTGCGAGCAGCGAGACGGAATTATATGAGAATCAGACACACTGTACCAAGATGAACATCTGGTGACTGATAAAAAAAGCAAAGTTTTCTTTACCTTTTGAAGCAGCAACACACGATTCTCTAACAACACTACACGCACATTACTCACAACTCTTCGAATGCTATTCACGCATCAGATTGGCACAACGTGACGATGCGGCGATTCAGGCGATTGCGTATCAAACAACCTTGGGGCCTCGGGGCCACGATCAGCCTGGCGAAGGATCAGCTGTTTGCTCGACCCTGGGAATGGCGGATGGGAATCACAAGGGAGACAAGTTGTCACGTATATTGGAACCACTTGGCAAGTTCAATGTGCATTTGGAGCACCAGCTTACCTCAAGTTTATTTCTATTGGGGTGTATCATGCCGTAATGTCGCGGTATCACGTCTAATTAAAGTGAATCGTCAAAATACTAGAAGTCAACAAAGGATCGAAATCCCAGCTGAAACTATTTCCGAGGTCTTCAACTTCTAAACGCGCTTGTGATTGGGCCGACCGCAAGGAAGTCCGTATCTTTTCGATGAATCTTTTCCCGCAAAATACGTACGACGAAGACATCATCGGAACAAAAGTACAAAGGAATTTTGCGGTCGTTCGAACGAAGATGTTTACCAAATGGGATCCCCGTCCTGACACGTTTGAGTAGGCCTTAGCGATAGTGGGGAAAATGACAAGTGCAGGTCCTCGACCAATCAGCTTGTCCCTTGGTAACGACAGAGCATATGATTGGCACACACTCACCCAAACAAAAACAAACCTCATACCACTATATGACGTCACACACGAGGTCGATGGACAGCTGGCGATCAATGACAGGAGGTACTTGACAAGTTAAAAATATTTCTCCAGGAAATCCTAAAGTGATGGTTAAAAACCGTTTAATATTGTAGTCAGTTTGTATTATTGCTGCTTAATAACTATTAAGTATTGTTGAATTAACATTTTATCCCCGAGTTGTTTGTTTGTACAAAATTGCGTCGTTTGGTGAAACTAAACTACCACCCTTTTGTCTTTGCCTTAAAGCTGGTAGCTCTAAGAATGTTACATTTGTGGGAAATGTCATTTCGCCCTCTCGTGTTCTTACGATATTATATTGTTCAGTTTTAACCTCAACATATCAGCGAATTCTTTGTCTGAAGATCCATGCTGTATTCCCAGTTTGCGTGTTATGCGATGAAAGAAAGCAACTTCATTATAAATTAGTACAAAAATTAAAAAAAAAATACACACGCTATTTTGTAATGAATCATTTAATTATTTTATCTTGGGCCTGTTTTTCTCAAGTAAATAGTTCGCATAGTTCCGGGATGTGGCTTCCCGATAATGTTAGCTTCCGATCAATTCCAGCGGTGACTTTGACACTTGGCAAAATCAGAGATGGACAAGAATGACAATCCATAAAAGTAATATGTTATATATTAAATTTACTGCATGCGCTATACATGCATGAACGGCATACAACACTACGTTTTTACAGCGATTTGAAGACTCCCTTAGGTTTGAGCTCGTTAAAATTATAAATTATTGGCAGCTCAGTTAAAATAATACATAATTCTCAGGTATTTGCTATCAGATAAGAGCAGTTAGAAAAACGCAAGATCCATAGTACTACCATAGTGTAGCTCTTTATTTCTTCAAAGATTTTGTTAGACTAGTTTTCTTGAATTGCAATTGGTTTCATACAATTCTGTAAGAGAATATTCACATTCATGTTTAAATGTGCTTTAAGCGTTGCTTTAATAGCAACAATATTATGATTCTACAAAGCATCAGCAGTATTCTTTAGATAAATACGTGCTCTCAGATAGTAAAATATCATATTTTTTTTATTTACACTTCGGAATTACTCCAAGATGACGAAGATTTAAATAATGTTTCAGGTTAAAGTGGCTTAGGGCTTAAGTGATGTCATTGCAGTGCCTCTGACCGGGAAGTCAGAGTTCGAGTCCGGACAGTGGTAGCATTTTTTCGACACTAGCTACAGAGCTAGATCGGATTCAGCTATTGCCTGGAGGAGAATTCTAGTGGACATGCTGCCCTGATCTGAGTCTTTCCATGATTTCTCCGATTAAATTTAGGCGAATGCAGGAGCAATACCTTAACGAACGAGACACGGGCCGCGCGCTATCATACATTTCTTGTCCTTATATCCCCACTTACACAAACTTTCACTTGCGGGCACTACACCACCTCACATGTTGGGAGCTTAGAGTTTGTTTCGTCTGGGGCGGCGCCCCGCTGGTGGGAGGAACCTGGCTGGGGAAAACCTCGCAAGTAGATGTGTAGTTCAGCGCCAGATCTCGCCATCCAGCGGGGAAAGATCACTGCCACCACCCGCGATAAGAAACATGCACTGCACTTACGGGAACAATGTCTTTAGCTCTTAACGCTCCTGGAAACATGAATCCTTTTTTATGATCAGCGTCACAACACGAGATATTCTTATAAAACGAAGAAAAAAGTATTTTTTCTATTTTCCCTTCTTTTTTTTATCGAATGTGTCAAAATCGGCTATGAACGCCTGAAAATATCTTCGAAACATCTTTACCATCTACAGAAAATAGCAAAAAAATATTAAAGTCAATTTTCTAAGGCGTAATGTGATTAAACATTTTTAACTTATTTGAGGAGCTAAAAAACACGTTTCTCATTTGTACGAAGTACGCCGTGAAAATTGATTCAAATCCTGCGAAAAACTGTTTTTCTCAATTACGATTTTCAACATAAAAATTTTTTATCCCCGGGGACGCTTCTGCCAATCTTATTACACTACCACCTCCGCGAAATCTCAAAGACATTTAAAACATCTAACTCAACATTTAAAATTTGTTTTAGAGTTTGGATGGTAAGGAGATGGTAGTGATTGTACAATATATCATGGAAACAGCAATTTTACCTTCTTTTGCAGGACATGTGAATAAAACTTAATTTGGATAAGAATAAAATATAAAATTGCACACAAAATTAAATAATTGTTCTTTAAACACTGGAAAATAAATACCTAAAAAGTAGCCAAAATATTCCCTATAAAATGGTATATCATCCAGTGAAAACTCCATCGAAATCTGTATAACTGTTCCCGCGATTAGCACCGACAGACGAACGGACGGACGGATCGAACGACGGGCCGACGGATCGACAGAGCTAGAATCAGAAACATTTCTTTACGCATATACACGAACCTCCATAAACAGGGCCTTGTATTAATATTTCCAGTATTTTAGACATGTAACAAATTAATTGAGACAACATCTCGGCATTGACAAAACATAAAGAAATGGTTAAAAAGCAGGAAAATATAAATAAAAGCATTAATATAGTACAACTACCAAGCCAATAAACTCAATGAAATTTGAACTAAAAGCAAACAAATCATTAATAACATTACCAACTCAGATTTGAAAATTTTCATTATGAGTTTATTTAACGAAAAAGGTAAGATTAAAAGACATGCATTTACACACGCATACACACACGCACGTGCAAACACACAAAAACACAGAGACACATACACGCACACACAAACACAAACATGTTGGGAAGAAATGGGTTTTGTATTGGTCATTTTATTGTTTTCAATTAGCATGTTCATGCAAAATGAAAACAGTAAACTGACGAATACAAAATTTAAAGAAGTACAAAAATGAATAATCCTTAACCCTCTGATAACCAATTTTTGTTACATTATTAACCACAGGATTCCTCCCCATTCGTCAATACAGTTTTTTATCGGTTTTGACGGAATAAGTAACAAATAAATAAATAAATAAATAAATAAATAAATAAATAAATAAATAAATAAATAAATAAATAAATAACCTACGGACCTATCACAATTGTGAATAGTGCAATATCTTACTACTAATAATACTCAAGTCGTTTCAAATATATTCTCAGAGATCTCAATAAGTAATTTCTATATTCAACTTACATAACAAGTATTATATAAAGATGAATATATTGTTATCTTAACAAGGATCAGAGTAGTGTGTCTCAAAACAATCGAGAAACGAATAAAATAACACATTTTATCACTACAATTATCATTTCATATTCATTTGGATAATTGAGATAAATACAGCAAATTCAGAAATCAGTGGATTTGAAAAAAAAGGAAAGTTGACAACTGGTGCACGACACGCCATGAATCCTTTTTAGAATCAAAAGATGGAATGTAAAAAGAAGTTGTGTAGTACGTAAAAAAAGTTGTTAGCAAAAAATGTTTTTGTTGCATAGTAAATTGCTTAAAGAACGAGAGACGCATTAACGTTCTATGAATAGTTTGTTTGCCACAAAAAAAAATTGGGAGAGAAAATCTAAAGGTTGGCTGTGATTGCACTTTTCTTGGTTATTAGAGAGTTACATACTGGAACAAACAATTACATTAAAACCCAATATTTAATCTGGATGTTGAACTTACAATGTACGATGTCGGGAGTGGACAGAGTAAGTCCTTCGCTCTAGACTCAAAGAATGACAAGTTTTTTTCAAGCGAAGTGCTATTTACTGACTGAATCTACAGTGCGATGTGCGTCGCCTTGCGTAGGGGTGCGAACCTGGCGACCTAACGGTACCGCCTTTTCACAATTCTTGCCGGCCACCTTAAGGGCGAGAGCTCCGTACGGGAACAATATTCAGGTCCGTAAAGTTGGACTAGCAAAGATTTCAAAAATACTAGACATTTGTCTAAATATTTGTTGCTATTTTTGTAGCTCATTTATTTCGCAAAAAAAGTCGCTCTTCCTGTAATTCTGATATCCAACTTCTGCTAATTCCATGTCAAGTTAGCCCGACAATTACAAGAAAACCAAGATATTATGTAGATAAATAAAGCAGAATTACATGTATAGGAAATTTTCGCTTTCTGGTTGCCCCAAAGAACATCCTTCGCTGTAAATCAATTTGCGGGAATGCGAAATTTTGCCAAATAGGTGGTATTAGGATGCCGGAACTTTAAGGATCTTCAATATTCTCCCAGAGCTTCACACTGCTCTTGCCTGCATCCCGGTTTCTGCACTGCACCTAGTAGCGGGGTGCAGCACATGAGGCGGCTGAACATTCCTCGCATGCACACACCCATATGCAGAAGAACGCAATACATACGAAAATGTTCAAGTTGGGCAAGCACTCTTATTATACAGTGAGTACCAAAAAAAAAAAAAATAATAAACACACACTCCAAGCATACGAAGAACTGTCATACCAAGCTGAATTCACGTAAACAGAAAATGATGAACACAAATCTTAGACTTTTATAGGTACAGCCGTTACCACTGATGCTCCAAATGCCTACTAGCGGTGCCAATACACCGATAAGTCACCGAAATAGTAATCACAAAACAGGATGTGCAAGAGACAGTAATACTCTGAAAAGAAGAGCACCAAGTAGTGTTGGAATTAGGATTGAATGATTGAAATATGGGGGTAAAATGTCGGAAAGTCAGCTAACTATATTATTTAATATAATTATCAAGAGAGGCAGAACACCATCAGAATGGAAAACTAGCACGACCTAATTAAATCCCTTCGACAACGTACCGTCCGTCCTAATGAGATCCCAATTTCTCCCAAACTGACAGTTCGGACATAGTTAACTGAGGCCTACATCTGGCCGCGAAAGAGACAATCAAATTCCAGGAGCATTTAGGGGACCACCGCGAGATGCGCCTGCTCGATAAAGGTCCCCAGACCCGCGTCAGAGGTAGGCTTCCAAGGAAACCTGGATCAGCAACTCGGGTGCGGAATACTGTCTAAGGGCAGTCTCCCCGCTAACAATCTTCTACGCTAAATAAATAATTATTGAATACAACTATAAAATTGTTTCAAATAATTATATTAGAAGAAAATACAATCATTTCTGCAGATAATTGAAGACATGAATAAGAGTATCATCACGAAAGTGCAAGTAAGTAATATAGTAGCAGACGATAACATTTGTGCAGTGGGTGCTGGAGAAGAGGATTCTGTTAGTCCTGCTTGTTAATCTGGTTATGGGTAAGATAATAGCGTAAAATAAATGCCAGGATATGAAAAGGAAAGTAAAAGAATCCCAATAGTGAGTTGTGCAGACGATGCAGTACCATTGGCAAATTCAGAAGTCGATTTACAAAGACCTCCCCACACGCTATCGAAAACTGTAGAATAATACCACATGATTTTATCAACTGATAAAACAAAATCAAATGTAATTTTAAAGGATCCAAAAAAGTGTAAATTGATGGTAGATAATCCAACAAGTCATTAAAACCACATTTTAGAAGTGAAAATTTCAAGCTCGAGGGACACTTATAATGAAGGTAAACAGCAGTAATTAAAGGAACTAGATTATCGGGATATCTGAAATTTGTAACCTAGAGAAATAAATATCTCAATATAAAAAGTAAAGTTAAAATACCCCAAAACATAGAAAGACCAGTTCTGACTTATAGACCAGAGACGTAAGCCGATACCAGAAGAATTAAAATGGAACGATGATCTTCGGAAATGAGCACTTTAAGGGAAAACAAGATGGGATTGAATAAATAATCAAGATGTAAGGAATGCATGTCTAGTGACAGTTAAATTCATTGGAACAAGAAGAAAAAGTTGGGATGGATACGTTTCCAGGGCAGACAATAGTATGCTGATTAGAATAGCAAGAGATTCAAGAAACGTAGGTTAGAGGGATACAGTAAAATCTAAGAAAAGATAGATCAAAAGCTGAGAATCGACATCTCCCGACTCATCATGAAGGTCAAGTGTGCAGAATAACAGGTTCCACCAGTAAAGAGAAGAAGATTTTGGCCAATTAGCTCCTATTTGTCATCCATTCACTATGCAGTTCGGGTAGCTACGCCGTTCGCCCCTCCCTCCCCTTTCGCCACGTACTAAAAACCCGGGGCATGGGCACCATCTACCACCTTTTGCTGAAGTTCAGGAGGCGTGTCAGAGTGCAGGTTTGAGTTATCCTGTTTGCTATCGAAAATCGTATTATGGCTGCTAGCTAATGCACACGGGAGGTTTATCTGAAAGAGAAGTAGGAATGAAGAAGGAGTAGCATGTAATTGGCAAATTTATTTCCGAAATGGCAACTTGTCGATAGTATTCCGAAGCAGATTCTGAGGTTAAAAATCGTATTTCGACAAAACAAATGAGCTAACCGTGGGCCACCCAGGCAGAACAATTCTGAAGACTGGGAATGCCATGAATAAGAATTCATTCTCTTGCTTCCCTGATGTCATTTCAATAAACATTGAGATTTACTTAGGTTAAGTTATAAAGATTAATAATCAAGGTGAGTATACAACAGTCACAAGTTTGAATAAAAATGCAAATTATTTAGTATCCAATCATTGCTATAAAGCGATTTTGTATTCAGTTTCATAACAAAAACGTTTCAGTGTAGTCTGCAAACAATAACCTTTTCAATATACTTTGTTTCACCGTAGTAAGGTATTCGTACTGGGAAGGAGTTTACTTTATATTGAATTAAGAAGCAAAGAGAACGGTGTATCATGACTGTATTGTTATTCGACTCCACAACCTTTAATTATCATCTACGATTTCTAATCAAAGTGGTTTGGAAAGAATGTTTATTTATACACGCACGCAAAGAAATGGACATCGCATGGAAAATACCGTCAAAATTAAACCGCTGCAATCGGTGTAATTGCTGTAATCTCTGAATGCTTTTGAGAACTAGAAAGTATTGCTAATCAACGCAAATTCCACCGTGAATTAATGGATAACTCTCGAATATCATGCAGTGGTAATACGAAACTCTCAACATTATCCTGAAGATAACTAAACCACAAGTTTGTTAACCAGGGCTCTTAACCGAAAGTGGTAAAACAGGCCCTTAGATGTGTAAACGAAAAACGATACATTTTTGTTTATTATGTTTACTATTATTATATTTCTCCGTTTTGGAATTAATATAAATATTGCTAAACTTATTTTATTTTATAAAGCATTCAAGGCTTTCACGGCCGGAGTCAATATTATTCATGTCTTCCGGGTTGATGGGCCGTGGTCCAATTGTCCTTGAACTGCCAATACATATGAACCTGACCTTGAACTGCATAACATATTTTATGTTGTTAATACTAACAACTAGAGCCAAATTGGAAGTCAAAATTTGAAAAACAAATTTGTAAAATTGGAAGATAAAATTTGCATATTTTCAAACGTTATTGCAGTTTGAAGACACTCTTATGTTGTTATAATAACACTACCCTGTTGCTTTTGACCATTTTGAACAAAGAGATGAATATTACTCTCCAAGCTTTATTTTATTATTACTTATTAGAATTACTTATTACTTATTGCCAAATTTGAGATGTAAATATAAAACAAGACATTTTTTAAAAGTTTGGTGGCGTTTTAATTGTGTTTGTATAACAATATCGCGTTTCGACGTTTGACCCTTCTAGAATAAGATGTATATGCTACTGGACTATTTTGCTTTCTTCATGGCATCACCTCTTGCGAAATTAGAGAACAAACCAATAAAAGGCAATTTTTAAAAATTTATTGCGGGTAAAATCAATTTTGTCGTTTAAAAAAAGAATGTTGTGGTGCTATGTGTGACCATTTTCGACTAAGAATTACGTATTACTGAACATATTTTTTGATAATGTAACTACTGACAAATCAGAGGGAAAATATACAACAGCACTGTTTAAGGTCAAGGTGACTCACTGAAAGTATTTTTGAAGGTAATATAGTCTCTGATAATTTAACAACGAAGTAAGAGTAAGTTTTGAAGTAAATATCAGAAACTGATTGGAACAATAGAAACATTTTTTTGCTATCCGCCGACTATTTATAATGAGTAACACATACAACAACCAAAGTTTAACAAAAATCATATTTTGAAATTGCGGAAATAGAAACAGTACAAGCTGTACTAATATTCTAACTAATTTTGTGTTGTAACCAGAAGAATTTGAGAGTTATTTGCAACCAAATTCTTCCACAGCAATATATCGAAACTGGTCACTTTGTAACAATTACACGTACAGTCTTGCTAAGTAAATGTTAACCAACAGAATCTTTATAAAAGGCAAAAATATCGTTCATATAGGAAACAAAATTTGTACTAGATCTTTTAAAAATAAACATTTGAACAGCGATCAGACTACATTTTTGACATTAGCGAACACATTTTTGTTACGACTGAGGTAATAAAAACATAGCTGCAACAACAAAGTGAACATAATCTATTTCTAGATAAAGAAACGAATTAACATTTCTAAACACTTAACCAATTAATATCATTTGAACTCGTGCACACGTTGGTGACATTGTTACTCACTAAACAATGTAAACACTGATTTGCAATCAGGCTGAGTGAATTGGGGAAAGATGTCTGTTGTGGAAAGAAATTATTCGTGGAACATTTCTTTGAAGAATTGGCCTTCCTTGAACGAGTATTGCACGAACAAATCTTTACAAGAAGATATATCTACAGAAGCACAGAGTTTAAAGACATACAATCATTAATGGCACGGTTAACACATTCACATAAGATACATACTCGCATTCATCGAGACCTAAGAACTCGACACCGTCCGCTTGGAACCAGTGAACACTCTTGGGTTGGTAGATTCGTGATCGTAAATGCAGGTTACCAATACGATCTGCAAGGGGAGGCGTGGTACGAAATTGCCGCTGAAGCAGAATGTGGAAAGTAAATATATTTTCCGGAAATAATGCTACTAAAACGTATACACCTGAGCAGTGAAAAACTTAGGTTCTCGCTGAAAGCCATTATTTGAAGTGGCTTAACAATTTACCAGATTTTTGGCTTACCTTCACCCCTCCGTTACACGTATTTTTGCTGGTAGAACTGTTCTGTTCCATTTTTGGCGAGCTCTCTAATTGCGAAAATTGCAAAAAAATATAATTTCAAAAGAACAGTATTGAAAATATAGATTTTTGTCTTTAATAGAATCTGTTTAAAAAAATCATATCTTTAAAAACAATCAGGTACAATTTTTTGAAAACACGACATGTTCTTACGTAATTTTTGCTTGAAGTTAATGCAAATTAAAAACCTATTTTCTCAGAAATGGCTCCATTTTTTACTTAAATGTTTTCCCTTATGGAGCAAAGTACGCTAAAAATTGCACAGATCTCATTTTGATTAACCTCCCTGAAGTTACTAAAATTTGAAAAGTTAGAAATAATGTAAGAAAGAAAGTGCTGGTGAAGTTTCCATAAAAAATCCTTGTAAAAATACCTCTTTGAAGAGAAAGTCATGTAAAATAAAAAATAAACTAGTCATTTTCGCATAATTTTTGTTTCAAATAAAGACAATTTTTAAAAAATTCTGAAAAATATATCCAGATTTGTTGTTAACTGTTTGCTCGAATAGAGCAAAGAACGGTTATTACAAGATCACAAGACCCTAAATTTGCACAAGACAAGTTTTGCTGGAATTGGGACGCTTAGAAAAAGGAAGGAGAGATATCTCTGTCTCCTAACTTGACTAACTTCATGTGACTTGATAACTATTCCACTCCCCGCGATGTAATGCCTGTAGGTGGTTCCGCGGAGAGCATAGAGGAGAAGGGAGGTACGGTTTTAGTGAGTCAAAGTCTCATACCCTGGGTAGTACGGCCAGCCAGTGTAATTTGAAGAATTCCATCTACCCTCATAAAAAACAAACACGCAGACAGACGGACACACACACACATAGACAGAGACACGCGCAGACAGAGATACGCACACACAGACAGACTTAAGATTTAGATTTATTTAGTCAAAAACACAGTAAAAACTGTATGTGACGTATGGGGGAGAAGATTATCTGAACACGTTTTCTTGAGTTCCAGAATCCCTTCCCGTCATTTTAACTATAAATAGTTGAAAGATGAGTAAAAATTAAAAATAAATAAATAAAAATACATTTTAAAAATCGCAAGATTAGCAATATTTGAAAAAATAGACATTTTCGTTTCCGAGCAATAGGAAATTTATTTGTATCGGTAAATGAATTGCAAGTGTGATTTTTCTGCATTGATAACAAAATAGTTACTCACCCCTACATCTACTCTTACCATTACAAACAAAAGGAGAGTTGAACAGAACGTGTGCATACGAGTGAAGCAATATTTACGTTCAGAAGCAAAACAAGTGGCCATCTCAGCATTTGTTCAATGGATCACTGGACAAAAAACTGCTCGAAATGGGGGTCATTGACCCGGAAGCTGAAGTACATTATTTGTTACAAACATATTAAGTCTTTTAAAAAATTGTACAATACAAATATAAACTAATTCATTATATATCATTGTTATATAATTGAAAATAATTTTTCTTTTTGATAATCAGTATAGTCTCTAATTGTATAGAAACTGTTATGCAGCAAAAAGATTTTACTTTTAACTTAAATTTGTGAACCGATTTCATTTTTTAAAACTTCATCTGGCAGTGCGTTGTAAAGTAACGTACATGTATTGTATGTGGATTTCTGATAGTGAGCTGTTGATACTGACTCTTGATGAACGCGATTTTTACGACGTGTGTTGTAATTATAAATATCAGTGTTGCATGAAAATATGTTCCCACCGTTAAGAAAGTCACTTTTGACAAATATTACAGATTCGTAAATATATAGGCAAGGCAGCGGTAAGAATCCAAGCTCAATTAAGAGAGGTTTGCAAGGGTAACGTGGATGGCATTTTTTCATTATTCGAATATTTTTTTCGCATTCTAAAGGTCTGAGTACTACATGATGAGTTTCCCCAGAAGTTTATACCATATCTCATACGGGAATGTACATTAGCAAAATACACGCAACGAGCTGCATGAAGGCTGACAGAATTTGAAAGAATTCTGAATGCGTAACATAATGAACTTAAATTAGTGTTTAATTTTGTTATATGTACATTCCATTTGCTGTTTGACTGAATTCAATTTGAGACACGCGCAGATAAAGGCACGCGCGTAGACAGACACACGCGTAGACAGAGACACGCGCAGAGACATGCGCAGAGACATGCTCAAACAGACACACTTTTATATTGAATTGACCTTTCGGTATCGTTGATTCTGACTACACGTATAGAAGATGTAGTTTATTACAAATATGATTAATTTTTATCCACTGTTTCGTTACCAAGACCCTTTAACAGGAGTTTTTCTTTCAAGAAATCGATTTCCGCTGCAGCATTGCAATACTTTGTTCTTATTATGTAAGTACGTAATAAGGTGAAACAGAAAAAATAAATGTTATTTAGTGTGAAGGGCATTCGTACAATATAACATTTCATGCTGGAAATGCCTGGCACACTGTGTTGTTCTGAAAATTGGACTGGCGGATCGCATTGCGCAGTCTCCGAGGGATACGTTGCTGCGTTGAGCGTTGCTAAGGCAACTCACATCAACACCCAGGCTGAGCGGGGAGCTAAGGTATCGTCCGCGGCTCCCACTGTCGTCGACTGAGCGCCCTGCTCTCGCCACCATCCGGCCTTTCTCTCTCTCGACTGGCCAGCTCCTATAAGTCAGCAATCGCTGCAACTCTCCCGTGTTATGAACGTACTGTGGAGTAAGTAAGGACGTATTGATAAAGTGATATGAATGAAAACAGAGTAGGAATTCGAGTAAGAATCGAACACTAAAAGTTGCTGACGATTTCGAAGCAGTCGATTGAAGACTTAGTAAGGTATGTACGTAGCATTTAGCAATTTAGTGTCATGGTGTAAAAAGTTAAGTTGGCGTATAGACAAAATTAAGATACAATCAGACACACATCTGGCGGGCGATAGTTAATTAAAAATAAGTTTCATATAAACAGACTTTTTTGTAATAAATTTTTCTGAATTTTTGTACGTAGTGTGAAGAGTAAAATATTTATTAATCCTGGAAGAGCAAATGGAGTGACTCAAGTATTCAACATTAATGTTTAAATAGTTGACGTTAAATAACATGTCTCCTTTTAAATTTTCTACAATTTATCATGTTTTTTATTTTATTTTTAATTGTTTTAAATTTAATTTGTTGCGTCTTTTACTCAACACGTTTATTTAGCTTTTTCGTGCATTGAGTGTATATACATTGGAGTAACCCTCCTTTAAGTTATCTGTCGTTTGCGTCGTAACATCGCAGTCAGTCGATGCCTATTAGCCCTTGGGGCAATTTTGATTATTTTACGATTGCATACGTTTAATTGTCGGATCAGTTGTGAAAATACAAAGTAAGACAAACATTATGTACGATTTTTACCTTATGCCGGAAACGTCGAAACATCGAAAATAAGCTCTTAAGACAATTTGAAGCATATTTTGTGTATTAAATTCCTCGAATATTCCGAATGGCTTAGCCGCAATAAGCACTCTAAAGTTGGTTAATAAAATACTTTCTATGCAAAAATTTGTATTTCAGAAGCACATAAACATTCCAGAAACATGTACATTTTTTATTATTTAGAAAATAAATTAATATATTTGTACAGAAAGAACAAATAATATAGAAATAGAAAAGGCATTCAAATTGTATAAATTGGGTGCTTTTTTATTGCTGAGTTAGTTTTTCTTTCTGAGCAAATACATTAATTTGTTTTGAAATAATAATAAGCAATTTACATGCTCCTGGAGTATTTGGATGTTTCTGCAATGCAAGTTTTGCATGGAAAATTATCAAAGCACCTTTTCAGTGCGTATTGCGTCTCAGTCACTCGGAATATCCAAGGAGTTTATTTGACGAAATATGCTTAAATTTGACTTAGGAATTTAATTTCGTATTTTCGACGTTTCCTGCATAGGGTGCAGGAAACATCGAAAGGTATCTATTTTAATACAGTTAAAATAATCCAGAAGTTTTAGAACTCTTGGGCAGTCTACGACAAGTTAAGTTGCATGTCTGAATTTACGGAATTTCATAACGAAACCTAAAATATCTGAGAGTTAATGGGAAACTAGAGAAAAATTATAAACAGAAACTGAAAACCGGGATACTCCGTTTGAAGGATAAAGTACTATAGGTTATGCTGTAGTAATAAAAAGGCAGAAAATATAGTTTTCATTGAGCAGCTCGTAATCAGCTTCCTGATCCCATTACAGCAGCACTTGACATTGTATTCGTATTTCACTGCCATTTCATTCGAATAGCTCTCCCCTTACTATCATAATTCTAGGTCAACGCCGTAAATAGGACCTCTAGCAGCAATTGAATCGTGACCTTGCTAGCGACAATCTGGCCACTAGTTTATGGTTTATATTACTAATAAATCGAGCGATTGATAAATGCGGCGTCGTTCGTCAGTGGAGGGAGGATAGTGATGAAAAAGCTCAAACTGTACTCAAACTGAACTCAAATAAAACCGATTTCTTTCTGTCATTTTATTTCCAATTTTTCTTTTTGGTGAAATGTGGAATGCTTAATCTTTTGAGAGGAAGAATACTTTCGTACGGCTGTGCACATCTAAGAAGTTTATTGCTTTAAGCCAAAGTTCTCCACAAAATTCCAGATATTTGTTATTATTATGAAATCACATTACGTATTTGAAACTCTACTTCCACAAGGCCTATATTACTGTAACGGTGATGATAACAAATAGTAAGTTATTTTACACTTCAGGTTATAAACAAAAAAACAAACAAAAATGTTAGTGTGGAATGAATATCTGTCTAGAGTAGAAATTGTCGGTGCACAAGAGACGTTGTACATCGTAATATTTGTTTTTTGCCTTGCTGAACGGTTTCTTCCTTAGAGGCCTCCTTTATTTGGAGACCAAAGAAGAAGTATTTTATTCTATTTGCCGACTGTGTTATTAACCATCTTAACGTAATTTTTAACAGTAAAGATATATTATTTTTTAATATACTTCTTCATTGAACTAAAAAAGTACATTTTTTAGACGAGTTGCTTGTCTTGTGTTCCGCCGATACATCTATTGTTCTTTAATATACTGACATTAAATAACGAGAATAAAACTCCAAGTACCCGGTACATAACAAAAAATAATAATACAAATTATAATAACTCTGACTGGCTATGAATCTATTGTTCGCTTTTACAGATGATGACTACAACGACGACGATGCGGATAACTGGTGCTAGTGGCGGCGATGGTGGGAGTGGTGAGGATGGCAGCTGGCGACGACCTTCTGGCCCTCGTCCATCCATTGGCGGAGTATCGGCCGTATCTGTGGTGTCTCTATACTCAGAGGAGGCTTTGAGGCCTGAAGGTAAGACTAAGTGGTACGAGTAGGTTATTATATTTCACATGAATATTTCCCTTTGCTTGCCACGCTTGCTTCGCGAGCCCAGAATTTTCACTGCTTAGGATAAAGAAAGGATAAAGATAAACTGAAGTTACTGATTTTTTTAATATTTGTTATTTAGTTGAAATGCATGACCACATTTTCTCCTTGATAATAATGTCAAGGGTCATTTTTAACTTGTTAGTAGAGGAAATATAACAGCTTCATCAATATACTGCGTTAGAAATGGATCAGTAGATTAAACAAATTTTCAACTCAAATTGACAACGGTTTGGAAATGCTTACGTTTTAAAATATCTTTTTTACTCCAACATTTTTCAGGAAATAACTTACTCGATTTCTTGAGCTGGAATATTTAGTCATTATTAGGAGCATGCACTCTTTTGTATGTTCCAGAAAAGTATGAATGTTAAGAATTTATCCCTTACAAAATATCTTCACTTGCAGATATGGATAACGCGACGTTGTCTGCTGCTGTGGACGAACTTCGCGACAAAACACGTTACTTGGCGATCGAAAATGAATGGATGCTGTTGTTCCTGATAAAGAATGCTGATGCAGATGCAGGTATGAAAGCGAGATATCAGTACGAGATCTCACTTCGAGAAACGAGTTTAGAGAGCTGAACGAAATTCTATTAAAACGCTTAATAAAATTAGGCATGTATTGGGCACGTTTGTATTGAAACATTTTCAAAAACTTATTATTTATGTAATCTGACTCAACTTTGTGGAACTAATCCACTTGTAGAATTACTTCATAGATAAATTATAGAAGATTTTTTCTATTGACGCAACGTGTGATGTAGGACCTATAGATTTTAATTTTGTTTTCAGGGAAATTAAATACTTTTTATTTAGAACAAGAGAAATTTTAAAAATTGTAAGACACGAATAATTAGAAAATAATATTTAATCCGGAAATCTCCTGAAGAGTCTACAAGATTGAACTTTTAATTCTGTTCACTAGAAAGTTTTTAGATCAGTTTAGCCATGTCAGTGGAAATTGTATATCCCATGCGTGGAAAAAGCGAGTAGTCGTGTGCATGCGGAAAGTTTTCCTCGTCTTTGTCTTCGAAAAATCGGTATACTGTAATTATTTGGAAGAAAATGAAGTAATTTAGTTTTTAGTAATTATTTTACAGATTTCACAAAAGAGAGTGATGTAAGAGGATATTCATAAACAAATGTATAGCCTTAGTATGCATGAACGATGGTTAAGTAAAACTGAAGAATTGTACGGTTTTTAAAACTAGTCTCTTCGTATGGTCAAACGGTCACTGTCAAAAACTCGTTGAAATCATTTTTTGATTTGCTTTTTACGCTGTGAAAAGTTTTCGGATGGTGCAAGTAAAATGACATTTTATACGTTACTGTAGAGGGAAAGCGCGACTGGTGGATAAAGAGATGTACTCACTGTGAGTTCATCAGTAAGGATGTCTTACGTTTCGTAAAGACAGTCAAATATAATTAAAACTGAACGAAATTAAATAGCAAAAGGAATGGTGTTTTACAGATGAGAAAGGAAATGTATTAAACGAGGACGTGGGAATAAATTAAAATATAAAATGTGAATAATGAGAATCAATAAAAAATTAATGATCTTTTTCTGTTACTGAGTTAACTGTACAGTTCATTTTTATCTTCTATTATTTGGTATGACACAGAAGCGGCGTATTAACCCAAAGTTTTCATTAGTTTACTAGTATTTAAATGTGGAAAATCATTATCTGATCTTTAAAATGAAAAACATTATTTTCAGTAAATCCCTACACACTGTTGCATAGATGGAGAGAATGATTTATAATCAAAAAGAAACAAAATAATATTAACGGACAAATGCAAATTAAATTACTTCAGTGCGCCCACACGGAAATCTGTTGACTTCTTCCGTACCCTGTTCAGTCAATGCAACTTACCTGCGCAATTGTACCGGAAAGTTTAAGTTGTAATATGTTCGTAGTAATATCATTCATCTAACCACGTAAGTGCGGCAGCACCAATACATTACTGAAAGTCTAATAGCACAACTTCATTGATACTTGTCACGGCATCGAGCACATGTGCAGCAACATCTTTCACATTATTCACTGGCATACAAAAGACTTCTTGTTTTAAGTAGCCGTAGAGAAGAATATTCAAAGGCGTGAAATCAGGAGACCACGCAGGCCAATTGACAAGATCCCCCCAACACCAAATCCAACAAATTGGAAAACAGGGACGTGATGCCTTCGTTTCCTCGAGATTCATAATCTTAGTTTTAGGGTTCATGATTCATCCACTGACTCTGTTATTAAAAGAAGACACGTTTTAATCTTTTTACCAACGGTAATCGCTCGGTGATGCTAGATTTGAAAATCAATTAGCTTAGCGACGTTTTTACTGCTCTTCGAATGCCTCGGAATGTGGAATGCGGCGTGCGTTAGCCGAGGAGCGACAGTGTCGGACATTGTACGTGAATGCGTATGTGTGTGTGTGTGTGGGGGGGGAGAGGTGTGTGTTCGTCTAAGTAAAACTCTTAATGTAATGGTTTTTAGCAATTTTTCATTAACCTTCAGTCCAAATTTCTTCAGAGCAATATTAGCTGATTCCCAAAATGTAGTCATACTTGTAGTGGTGCTACAACGGCACACACTTACTCGCATTATTTGTAACGGCTATGCAATATTTACTACTATAAAAAGTAAGTTCAACCTGCAGACAGTTTTCTCCGCGCTGAGATTCGACGTCAGGTTCGGTCCAAGGAGTTAATTTCCTACGCTCTTTACCGCTACTCCATACAGACGCTCGCTCGAACTTACTTTTGCCGCCGCTTAAAAAATTAATGGGCTCTCCCATTATTTCTAACTTATGGAATTTTCGAAAAATCAAAGGGTTAATCGAAAATGAGAACTGCGCCAATTTCTTAAGCATTCTTTTCTCTACCATAAAAAACAAATAAATTCCGAAGTGATTTTGAGGAAATGTTTTTATAAATTGCATTAACTTCAATCAGATATTTTCGAAAAATTCTATGTGACCCTACTTCCAAGATCTAACTTTAGATAACATATTTTATTCCGTAAATAATCCATGTTTTCATCTATGTAGTTGTATTAAGACACCGACATTTTTTAACTTTTGTAATTTTTGAAAAATAAAGTATTCAAGGAAAATGAGACCAGGACTATTTTTTAAATAATCATTAATACTCTCAGATGTTAATGTTTAATAAAAAAATTGAATGTGAGAAAACTTTGTAAATATTGAGGATTCATGTAAAAAAATTCTAAAAATAAAAATATCCGTTTCAAACTCGCAGAAGCTTGAGTGCGTCTACATCAACAGAGGAATATCAGTTTCGGAGAAAATTGTGAGAGCGGTTTAGGCTCTAGCATTGACAGAGATACAGACAAATGGACCCATAAACACGGACAGACAGAGAAACGGACCTAATGAAAGAAGGACGTTTTGTCGTCAATTGAATTTTAGGTATCAGAGACTTACATAACATGGATTCTTACTACACAACGTGTTAGAGGAAGAAATTTAGGACTATATGTAGGAACAAGATTTATCGCATTTCTTTGTTGTCAGATTCATATAATAAGTGTTTTTCTGCCAAAAAGTCGCCAATTTCCGTCACACGCTACAATACTTTCTCATTACTTCTGATTGTAGTATAGCGAGAAAGTAAAAATGTAGTTCCGAAAAATATTATATTTCTCCTTCCCGAAAGAACGTTGTTTGTGAATCCTCTCGTATATGTGAGAATCATTGAAATAGGGCGCAAACGCGCGAACACTGCCCTTCTTCGTCAATGCCACGTCATCAATGCTTCTTGCGCTTATTTCAATATGGTAACTAGCGAGATAGCAGTGCATGTTTCATTACTTATTACCTCTGAAAAATTATTTGAAGTGTTTGCTACGCCTCGCGACCTCGCGATAACGTCTCATAGCGCAATAGCGCGACATTTGAAGTTTTAAACGTATTTAGGGATAACGACCAGAGAACCATCTGTTAAAATTATAATGAAGCGTAGTACCAAGAAATTACTGCCAAAATCTAGAAATTAGAAAGTTTAAAAAAGTGTAAAGTCAAAACATGTTGTTCGGAACACGCAGGTAGTGATGCCACAGTTTTTCCGCACGGTCTGAGACATTTTGTATTAGGGAATACTTTTCAATTTTCTCATTGTCTTATGACTATTTCACGACTGTTTACGAAACAATTTGTTTGAATATGGTTACGTTTGTTTGAATATGCTAAACAAAATTATTTGATGATGTTCTCATATTGATCTATTATGCATTTTACTCTAACTTATTTAAAATACAAATCGTGTATTATTTTGCTGGTCATCATCGTATCTGTTGATGAACGGACATCTCCCTACTGAGCAGAAACCCAAATGAGAAACCAACTTAATGAGCGTAAAGCACATCAGCTCAATATGTTGGTGAAGATATGCTTTTTTTCCTGGAGCGTTTCAGTACGTCGTGCTCTAAATTGCGCTTGACTGTTCTAACAATGAGTGTAGAGTTGTTATAGTTGTTTGTTTGTTTGTTTGTTTGTTATTTAGCACAACAGCTCTTTACGACCTACCAACAGCATCCCAGCGTTGCGGTGATGGATTATGGGGTACGTGTGGTTAGCACATAGCCATCCCTACGCTGTATTTCTGGCATTCTCAACCCGAGAACTGAGCTTTCTCATCGCCACACAGCATCAGATACTGGGACAATGCAAGGGATACAACAGATTCTGGGACAATTAATTTTTGCCGCAATCAGGAATCGAACCCGGGGTTGCGCGGTGGCAAGCGAGCACGCTAACCAACGAATCACCGAGGGCTTGTTATACTTAAAACTCATTATTTTCTAAAAACATGTTTGAGTTATCTAATCGCTATTTCATGGAATTAAAAATATTAACTACGGTATATTTGTTTCTGGAAAAAAAAATTGTATTGGAGCCGTTTGATTTTGATTTGTTTTATTTTGTCATTGGTTCTGTCTCCCCAGCCACCACCTGTACCCGATCTATAGGTTTCCTTTTGACAGACGATTTCAAATCTCCAAGCAAATGCACGCATGAACAGTGCGGGGCTTGCAAAACCCAAGAAGGGCGTAAAGGCGGGCTCCAAGTGCGTCGCCCTCGGGAGCGACCTACCTGCGTGTAGAGACAGTTGCATTCGCCGAGCGTGTAGGAGGCGGTGCGGTGCCGCAGGCGGAACATGGTGTTGCAGGGGTGCTGCGGCAGCAGATGCAGCGCGTGGGCGAGCGGGTGACGGAGGCGCTGGCGCGCGGGCTGCACCGCTCCGCGTCTGCGTCGCGACGCCCCAGCTTCGCGGCGGGTGAGTCCCTGTGCCACGCGGACGCTCCCGCGGACGCGCCAAGCGGCAGGGCGTTGGCGAGACGGCAAATACTAAGTCGTCGTTGCTAAGAGATACTCAGGGTCATGGTTATTGGTCAAGTTGCAGAAACGAAGCAACCTAGTGCTAATGGGTTGTTAAAGTTTTGCAATTTTCTAATTCCGTCTTCAGTGCTCTGAAACACAACAAGAACAAACACAATGACGTGTTATAATCTTAAATAACTACGATAATAATTATTCTGTGTTTGCCAAACTAGATTATAAAGTTTTTTCCTGCGATAAATATGAGCTAATGGTAATTGCTGTGAAGGGTACTACTGTGTAATTCTTAAGCTTTTTTGTCAATTGTAAAACCGTTGGGCGGCAGCGGTGACAATCGCTATCATTGGAGCGACGGGTTGTGAGTTCAATCCCGAGTAAGATATGGATATATTTAAATTATGATTGGGACGTGATAGGCAATGAAAACCTACCACTTATTAAATAATGTATCCAAATATAAACTCAATTTTTTAGCGTTGTAGGGCATCAAATCTGTTGAAAGACTGCAAACTATGAGAGACTGAAAAAATGAATTAAAGAAAATACGTTTTCATCTAGCGGCCAGGGCATAATCTGATAATACATTGTGAATTATGGAATTTTTGTATTTTCTAAAGGATTAATTAAAAACTTATGGAACTGTTTTATGAAATTTTAATTGTTTTTTGAAACCAAATAAACAAAATAATAAACAACGTGCTTCAATATCACATTTTTTCTAAATAGCATAGCGCAACTTACGCAACTTACGCCCTTTTCCAAAAAGGTCCTTTTTAAAGAGCTGTTTTCTACAGAATACCATAACGCAAAAGTATCTCAATTTTGTAGTTTTGAATTGTTAACTTTATGGAACTTTCAAAAACACAGTGTTCGCCTGAAATAAGTCCAGCACCAAATTTTTTAATCTTCTGATACATAAAAGGGGAAAATTTAAAGAAAATATTGGAGCCGTTTTTACGAAAAATGTTTAAAATTTTTTTAAATGGTCTATTTTTCAAGCAAAAATACACGAAAATTCTTATATTTTCGAAAACTTGTCTACTGCGCGATTTTAACGAAAATGCGATCTGCATCATTCTCTTCATCGTCATTTACGCTATCCGAGGATAAAGTTTAATAAATAGAGCAATTTTTAAGAAAATTTTGAAAATCATGCTTGATACCATAAAAAAATCAAAATATCCGTTTCACACTCACAGGACTTGGCGTTCATTTAAATCGATCGGGGAATATCAATTTTGTGAGCGGAAGAGGGTGGTGCCGAACGGGGGGGCGGAAAAGGGTGGGCGGATCTGGATACTTGGGATAGGCGGGCCGAGAACGCTCTGCTGGAAAGCAGCGTATAGAAAAACTAATGGTACTACATGGTACACATACCGATTCTAATAAATAAAATAGATGAACATTGCATTTTAGTGATTTTAATAAACTGGATATGCTACAACAGCACACATTTTCTCGCTTTGTTTGTATTATAATATTAGTTGAACCTGCAAAGATGTTTGCCTAAGCTCAGATGCAAACTTGAGAGCATGACTCCGCGATGAAATCACTATCCGATTCACCACACACGCTGATTGAGCATAAGCAAGTTAAAATTTTGCAATTCTTAAAATTTTAGATATTTGAATAAAAATATTATATATCATATTATTAATAATAATTTGGTATCTACGAGAAAAATATTAAAGAAAAGATTTGGAGCCATTTTTAAGAATATCTTGTTAACGTGTTTTAAAACTAGTTTTAATTTAGCTATAAATTATGGACAAACTACCCATATTTGGAAAAAATGTACTTAGCATTAATGAATTACTGAATTTGAACAGATTTCATTTTTAAAAGCATCTTTCTTCTAATGCATTTGCAGAAGTTATGGATAAAGTTATAAACTGGTGCAATTTACAAAAAACAGAAACTTTATTGAGATGCAGACCCGAGCCAAATTTTATAAGATTACTGTGTTCTATCTGAAGAAAATGATTGAAAAAAATATTCGAAAACTATCAAACTATCGGCAACTAAAATTTATTGTTAATTATTTGCAATCTTTTCGAATTAATAGGTAATTTTTATGTAAACAAATTTATGTGCCTGTCTGATATCATGCACGCACACACATTTGCTATTTTATATCCAATATGTTAAAAGTTCAGGAAAATCCATTGTTAAAGGATTGCTAAATTTTTAATTAATCGCCAATTTAAAAAAAATGGTTATTCGGGCTTGATATCAAGGTAACTTTGGCAACGATACAACAAAAAACATTAAAATTAATTGATATATAATTGCCATTTTCTCTAAATATTTGTGTTTTTTTAAGTGTTTTTTTCGCGTAATGCTAACATATATCCTTGAGTGATGACAGAAGAAGAAAGTGAAATGTTATTACAATTAATATTTTAATTAAAAAGTAATGTGATCAATTCGAATAACGGCAATCAATTAATTTTACCACTTTTCAGTTATTACTTGCCATCATTGAAGGTTAAGAGACGTCAAGCCAGCATGGTACATTTTCTTAAAAAAATGTATTTATTCGAAAAAAGTAGCAATTAATTAGCTATTACTTCTTTTTTTCAAGTTTTTAAACAAAAAACAAAACAAGAATGTCTACTGTCTTGACATCAAGCCAGCACAACAACTTATTTAAAAAAATAAATCGCTGTTGCACTGGCTTGTATGATCCAACTACGAGTATATGTAGCTTACAAAAGTGTGAGGTACAGGAGACGAAGGCGTAAAGCAAAATACAAGGGCGTGGAAGATGAAGGGTAATCGCATGAATGTGTACTCTGGTCCAAATGTTACGGGATGGGGTGCTGGAGGGAACGGGTCTCGGGAATGAGGCGTGTCAGGAACGGGTAATGCTGGGCCCGGGAAATTCTATATACAAGTTCTCTGATGTCAGTTACCTGGAATGAAGGGTCCCATCGAAACAGTGCGACAGATCTGGTAACTACGAAAAGCTGATTACAATGGGTTATAATCTGCCGAGAGAGAAAGCAATCGCCAACCCGGTTGAGGCTGCTGGCAATTCAAGCGTTCGCCTTCTACCGCCTTTCTTTGCAAACTGATCTTCTGAATACGTACGCGTATGACGACTAAAGACTGCGGCTTGCTGGCTAGTGACGAATTACCATGTGACCGTTCAAGATCGATTGCGGATTCATTCGACGAAGGATATTCGGGTATCATCAGTCACAATTAAATGTTCCTTTCGAATCTACCAGGAACACGGTTTTAAATATTAAATCTTATCTTTATTATTCTTCGGCCTTCAGCCAATCTGTATACAAACGAGACAAGCGTAGCAGGAGACGTATTCACTGCCAGGCTGTCAGCCGTAAATGTACCGAGAAGCTTATCGCGGGTTTAATACGACACAAGGATCTCTTTACTTCCCCAGTTACTATTTATGACATCTGTGACGTTATCTTCATGCCGCCACTTACCCCTTGCACTTCGAAAGTTGTCTAGATCAACGCAATTGATCTGGGTGACGTAACTTACACTTGAACTTGAAACAAATCGTACATTTTACTACAATCGTGACAATGAATTTATCCGTCCTCGACAAGGCTGTTTGGTGTTTGATCAACAAAGAGCCCTGTATTTTCCTTGGCAGATTTTTCTTCTTCTTTGACTCATCGTAGCTCTGCGGAATAGGTCATGGATCTCCAGTTGCTGCCGTATGATTTAATGGATTGTGTAATCTCTATTGGCTACGCTCCTTTGACTCCCAAGCAATTTATTCAAAGAACGCTGATGTTTTAGTGTGCTATTTATACCGTACGATATTGAGGAGCAATTAGGCTATGCGGCATTAAAAGGTTAACAGCTGATAGCGAGAAGCGGGGGAAAATGTAACTGTATTTCAAGGACCTGCATAATTGCAGAGGTTTGTGACGCGATGAATACAGCTCCTTATATTGTATGAAAGTTTTGATAATCCTTATATTGTCGGTGCACAATCAGTGACACCTAGAAAAAATCCTAAATTTTTAGTGAAGAAATATGTTTAGTAAAATTGTCATGGCGATAGTTAGACAGAATATGAAGTAAGCACACACACGCGTATTTAATCTTTAAGTTTATTAAGAACAAATGGAAAACTAAAACTAATACATTTGTATCACTGATAAAATGAATTAGAGTTTCCTTTTTGGTCAGTCTAGCCTCTCTGTGTAGAAAATTTATGCACAGAAAATATACTTGGCATATAGACTTTTGTATTGTTTTTTAATGTCATCTGGCATTGTGTAGTAAAAACGTACATGTATGTGTGAACGTTTTGTAGTGAAATGTAATACTTATAGTCACCTGAGAAATATTGATAAATTGGCGTTTCCGGGTGCGCGCGCCAACTGATAAGGTAATTAGTCCCGTAAGTGAAGTGAATGTTTTTATTCCTGAAAGTGGTGATAATCATCCTCTCGAGAGGGAACGGCTTAGGTTGCTTAGGCCATCAAGTGATGTCACTGCAGTTCCTCTGACCACGAGGTCCTCGGGTTCGAGTCTCAGTGGCAGGATTTTCTATACTAGCTACATGTATGTATGCACGTACTTTGGCACAACAACTAAGGCCTACCAGCAGCATCCCGACCTTTGCGGCCATGGGTTATGGGGTACGTGTGGATAGCACATACCCATCCCTACGCTGTATTTTTGGTATTCTCTACCTGAGAAATGAGCTCAAACACTGTCGGGATGAGAAATCTAGAGGCCGGCTACTGTGGTCGGTAGTTTTCCGTGGTTTCACCAATGAACACCAGGCGAATGTCGGAGCAGTACCCTAACAAACGGGCCACGGATCGCGCGCCATGTTTCCTTTCTCATTTGTCCTATCCTCACCCATTACTTACACACACTTACGCTTACACGCACTACATTACTACATATGCCGGGAGACCAGTCGCGAGCTTAGAGCTTGTCCCGGCTGAGGCTGTGCCCTACTGGTAGGAAATACCTGCTTGGTGAGATATACCTTGAGCGCTATCTCACTGGTGGGAGATACTTGGTTGGGGAAAACTCGCAATTCGACGGGTAGGTCGATGGCGGATCAGACAGAGCAGCCAGCGGGGGGGGGGGGATCACAGCCACCTCCCGCGACAAAAACATGGACTCCACTTAAGGATTAATCCTCTCAGCAGTGGACGCTCACGGAAGCATCAATCAAACCAGCTAAATGGCGGGATCCAGCGACGATCTACACGTCGGCTCGCGACATTTTCCGAAACCAGGTACCTCACACCAGCGGGGTACCGCTCGAGTCTGGACAAGCTCTAAGCTCCCGACATGTGTGGTAGTGTTGTACATGTAAGAGTAAGTAAGGGATGAGGCTAGGTCAAGGAAAAGATAGTCAAGGAATTGGAAGGAATGTTCGCGCTCGGTATGTGGTCCGTTTGTTGGGCAACTCCGGCATTCGCCTGGTGTTGATCGGAGAAACCACAAAAATCTACCTGCCGCTAGAAGTCTCCTCCAGACAGTGGCTGAATTCGACTCCGCTACGTATATAAAATTGCCAAAATTTCTGCCATGTTGGGAGTGGAACCCTAGGCCCTTCTGGTCAGGGGCACTGTACTGACTTCTATTGATGTCCTATACTGGTTAGTCAATAAAAAGCCACCTTTATTTTCTGAACGGTTAAATATATTGAGATACAATTTTCACCCAATGATTGTCACAAGGACTGTTTATTGTAATTATTTGTTTTTTGATAGACGTGATTTGATATTGATCTGAATTCGTAGTTTTAAATGAAACACTTTACCGTTTTTACACAATAATGTAGTTCTTAAGATGATAAATTCAGCAATACTGCACATGTTGGTATTTGATGAATAAATAATTTGCCGGCGATGGTGTAACGGTTAGCGTACCGGACTGTTGTACCAAAGTTCGCGGGTTCAAACCCAATCGAAGCAGTGGATTTATAAGGGCCAAAAATAATCCTTCGTACGCCTTCCTTCGGAGGGGAAGTAAAGCCGGCTGTCGCATGGTAGTGGTTTTTCTTGCATGTAAAAGATCCTCAAGCCTAAATGACGCCTCTGAGCTAAATTCAAATCGCCTGTTTCTCACCCAAGAAATACCTCCTTTTTTTTCTAGTAGATGAAAGGCGTAGTGAAATTTGCGTGGTCAGACGGAAGTCGTCAGACGATGGCCACGGAAATTCAATTCAAAATAAAAACATTAATGAATTCTAAAACCCGGCGTTATATCAGGTTCGAAAGTTCACGGTGCCGCTGGATTTCTAAATGTTTCCACAGCCTCTGTGTTCGCCTTCTCAAAACGCAGCCGATTAAGACGTCTAGCGCATGATGCGGCCTCTAAACGACAATCGACACAGCAGTCCACAAGTATAATTGAGGCTGTCTAGAAATCGCGAAAGATACGTTTGTCGCATGCGCAGAGTGAATGACGAAGAGCGTACAGAGCAGAGATTTGCGGGGCGTCGTTTCTGCAGGTAATTGACGCAATAGATACTTTTGCATTGCAGTTGACGTAAAGACGTTTTGTTTTATTAATTGTTTAAGGCAAGTTCACAAGGGTGTATTGAAGAAATTTGATGGTCACATAAAAATATATTTAGAGTTAATATCTTTATTACTGAAGAAGTTGCATATCAGTTGAATGCGCCTTGCATGGATTAACCGCGATATTTAGAGTGAAGCAGAGAAAAGTTTTTCTGTATTTTTTTGCTGCCGAAATTATTAAAAGAGGAGACAACGAGCTCGCCGTGCTAATTGTCGCACAACGATTTCAAAAAAAATAAGCCACATCATGTTTATTGTGGAATTTATTTCGCAAGACTTACGTTACCAAACATTATTCAAGTGTGTCCCATTTCAAGATCGAGAATTTTTTAACCTCTCTGATTAATGACGCTGTTAATTGAAACACATAGGCATTCTCTACTCTTGTCATTTTGATTGATTTTTTTACGAAATGTTAACTTAGTATCTTGAACTATTGAAACGTACGTTTGTTGAAAGAGAAATTGGAGCGATGGGGTTGCCAAGGTCTCTGCACTGCCCTGTGAGGAACGTCCGTGTACCTGCTTTTCATATGACGCCAGATTTCATACTCTTTTGTGCTGTTAAATATTCAACAAATTCCAAACGCGTGGTATAGATGAATTTATCTGTTAAATATCATTCTGTTCGTTTAAACAGTACACTATTTAATGTAAAAAAACTAAGGTAGACCAATATTTGAATTTGCGGTACTTAATTACTGCAAATAGAAAATAATAAAATGTCAGTCTTCATAATGCAAATTAGTAGTTTTCATTACTATATATTAATTTAATCCTCCGAAAAATCTGAATATGGTTTTCTGTCGTGTATCGTCTCGTTAATTATGGAGATTTAAACGTATTGATACGCACAAAAAATACAGTAAAATATCCTTTCCTGCTCTTTCGTTCAACGGTGGATTCATTACAAAGAGTATTATAGAAAAGAGAAACGCGGGTTCTCCGAA